CGGGTCAAAAACCGAGGACTAACTGATTGCTACAGAGAAGCTGAGATAAAGGCGTGCGGATGGATACTGTTGCACAAAAAATCGCCATATTTGGACATCCAGCCACTGGGCAACTTTTACAACCTTCAAAGAGACAAATGTGGCAATGAATGAGTGAACGTCCTTCCTTTTTTTACGACTCGAAGAGACTAGAAACCAGTCTGTGTGTGTGTGCTACTGAAAATAACTGCTTTATTACGGGAGCAAGGTCCTCTCTCCCCCTTTTTAAAAGCTACTATTGAGAAATATAATTTTCTTTCCCTATGTAATATGTTTTTACAGGATGGAACCTTTTAGAGCAGACAAATGGGACTGGCCTGTTAGGTAGCAAGGACACGGAAAGTTTATAGGTGATGCTCCTCTCCCTCTCCCTCCCCCCTTTCTCTCTCTCTCTGTGAAAGTGGCATTTCGATCTGACATTTAGGGAGAGTTTGATCGAGACCTCTTTTTGTAATGCATTGGCTGCATTTAAACTTCTGCCCAAAACTGGAAAATTAGCCGAATTAGCCATAAAAACGGAAAAATAACTCCAGATAAAAAGTTGTTTTGCACAAAAATTGATTTTAAGAGGTAATCCTTTTTTAGCGCATCCCGAAAAATGAGACAATAAGTTTTGGCTTTTGTAATCTCCCGTTTAACAAAATCTCGTTTGCCTGAATTCCCAAATAAATTTAAAAAGAAAATAAGGAGGGTTTAAAAATACATTTGGGGATATAGGAAACGCACACCATGTATTACTGTAATACGTTGGCTGTTTAACTCTTAGGGAACAAAAACTAGGTACACAGTTTTGTCAAAAAGGAGCAACAACCAGTTCTTGCTACCTACCTAGCAGTAGCTGAATTGAGTATGCTTATTCTTGAATTCAGAGTATCATAGTAGGCTTGAGGTTCTGTTTTCGGCCTGCGTTCGAACCCCTCTCCATCCTCTACCTCCACGCTTCCGCCACGTTCTCCACCACCAACGCCATTCCCAACCCTTCCACCGCCACCACCTCCGCTGCCAACACCACCACCGCTATCACCACTTCTACAGCCAATGCCCCCACCACCAGTAGAGGAGGCGTGGGAGAGGCAGCGTCGGCATACGGAGACAACTTCACAGCCGCGTGAGGATGGTTCGATGCTGCGGGTGATGTTGGAGAGTTCAGAGCACTCGGAGGAGCCGACGGAGGCGCGCACAGCAGCCAAGAGACATGAATTTGGAGCTGAGGTGTTCAGCACAACCGGACGCGGCATCACGATGCGAGCGGTGGGTTGGCTATTTTGCACTGGATTGGTAACAGTGGTACTGGTGGAGGTGGAAGTGGGAACTTCTGTGGGATGATGACCTCCCGGTAAACGGAAGTTGGAAGCTCGCAGACGAGCATATCGCTGAAGCAGGGGCTCCACCTGAAAGGAAGGGATTACAATGGATGCAATGGCCACTTGATTGAGTGCATTCAACTAAAAGCCAGTTCAAAAATGATAAATGATCATCAAAAAAAGTGAGCTCGCACTGGAATCGCCAATCCACCAGCCATAAATGATGCATAATGTGACTTCTCTCACTCAATTTTCGCTTGCGGTCAGATTTACGTTGACAGATAGTTGTTAAGATGGCCTCCCAATTTGAGGAAAATTTTGCTGTCACGCACAAAGCTCGGAGGATAAAATATGTTGTTGGGTACTAAAGTCTAAAAAATGACCTTCCTTGGGAGACACGCATTCATGCATCGTATCCTGACACAACATATGCAGTTGATGGCTTGAAAGGCTGTACACGAAACTCACGACTCATGATCCGAAAATGAGTTTAGTAGAGGTGACAGAGATCAATGTAAGGGGGATAACATGGAAGAAACCAAAAGACATGGCTAAACCAAGGGGTATGGCTATGCGTGCGTGAAGTTAAAATTCAGACCAGTCATACTGCACATTGTGTGACATTTCGAGGCCTGTGTAAGCACTCACACACACACCACATCAACGCAGGCATGAGTCATGGACGACTTCAACCCAGGCCTTTCGCCAATCCCCCTTTTTCCTCTCGTCTACTTGATTCCTTCAGCCACCCATCTACCCCTCCAAATAGGATTGCAAGCACACAATTTCTAAAAAAATTACGTAAACATGTCCACAAATAAAGCGTCACTCACACGTTCTATCATTCACGTGATAAGCTCCTATCACTAGTGAGAGGGAAGTGAGCTATCGAGTTCATAAACCTGAAAAATGAACCGCGAAATACCTCATAATTCTCTAATCGCGGCCTTGAGATCCGTGGGTCTTCCAATCGTAGGCGGAGAATACGAAGAAGAACAAAAAGAGTGTGTGCACAAGGTGAACGGGTGGATGCTGGACAGACGAAAGGCTGTTCAGAACAACTACAGCCGGACGAATGTCCTCCCAAGGTTACTCGAAAGCGCTGACGTTTGGGAGTAGTAAAGGAACATCCTGTTGCACCCGCCCCTGCCATTTCCCATTGGCAAACACTAACGGGATTCGGATCGAGGATGATGAAAGCATTGGGAGCCGGTTGATGCAGAAGGAGAAAGTTTGTTTGCAATGCCCTCGCCACCTGCTCCTGAAGGCTCGCCGACCGATTGAGAGGGGCGGTGGCGGTAGCAACGGATGGTGTTCCTGGTGAGGCTATGTCGTGACAGCCAATCATGGATCTGGACTAAGATAAAGAAATAATCAAGGGTAATAACGGAACCCAATTGACGCTCAGTTGTGATTTGACTGCATCCTAGACGATTGTCCAATTTCTGGATTTCAGTCGACAGTGAGGAGGATCTTTTGCAAGCAAATGTTCATCATGTGATAGAGAATATAATAAAAACACTGGCTGATGTATGAGCTCATGTGTCATACGGGCAATTGTACCGGCAAAGGAGAAAATTAAATGGTAATATTTATCGCTTTTAAAAGTCGGGGCGATATCAATGGGATATGAAAGTCCTAAAACCTTATTACTTCTTAAAAATATATATATATATTGGTTTTCAGAGTGCAAAGTTAGGAGCAATAGAAAAACCCTCACTTCACTTTAACATTGCTGATCAGTAATAGGAGGCCTGTAAAGGAAATAATAAGGCAGTTAAACTCAATAGCGTACAAGAAATAGGCACGAAATTAGATGGTAAACCTACCAGGTTTTTAGAACACCATAAACCAAGAGTGTTGGGGATTAAAAATTGGATGCAAACTAAAAAGACAAAATGAAGATGAACATATTCATTCTTCACTAATGCATCAAATGTGCTGACTTAGTTATGCTAGAGGTATAAATTAGGATGACTTAGTTTACAGTCAAAGGAAATAGGATGAGTAGCATAAACCATCATAGTTGAAAAGAGAAAGCAGTTAAATGCAGTTGCAGAACAGCAAATCTTTGTCAAAAACATGTGCATTAATTGTAACCTTTCTAAAACACGTAATAAACCAAATAAAAACAAGACGGTTTTGAAATGAATTGCGATGTAGAAATCGCAGCACCTAAAGCCATTCTAAAAAAGGTGCATTGACTAAACCAAAAATCTTAGTCTCATTAGTAGTGAGTGTTACACAACAGTCATATAAAAAAACTAACATTAAAACAAAATCAATAAACAATATTTTGGTTCCTTGGCATTTTATCAAACCTCACTTTGAACAACGCCAATCCAAAGAGCAACCTTACGCTGCACAAACAACTAAATTTAAAATACTTAAGCCCGCTTACAACTAGAGCATTAAGAATCTATGTTAAATTATGAAAACGCAATTCTAACTGAAAATAATCACAACCCAACACAAAGCCTGACCAGAGTCACTTGCTAAGCGAGTAAGGAAAATTAGTAGCTAACATCAAACTGTTTAGAATCCACTGTAATTTATGCCTTCCGCGCACAACTTACTGGTAAAAAATCGGCAAGGACCAGCAGCAGACGGCCACAAAGTATGCATTAATAAAAGCGCAGCATTGCCTTCTAGGTCACATGCCCAATAGTCCGATACGACAAAACAAACAATTTAGAAATTACAGGCAGCTTGGATGCGAATTAATTGTTAAGTTTTTAACAAAGCAAATGTTAAAAATTGCTTTGTATATGAAACCCTGACTTTAGAAAATAAGTGAAATTTTAAGAGTTTCTTCACATTTCCAATTTACGGTTTTTGGCTTGAAGTTGAACTAACTTTACCTAAAATCCAACCATACTACCCAAATTATCGGCTCGAGTTACTTTTATGCTACGACTTGCCAGAAGCATGCTTACTTCAACATTTCCCTTTTCTACGTGTACGCAACTTAAGGCACTTTCATTAACAGTGTAATACATGCTTGCTAGATTGTGCCTTCTGGTAGGAGGGGAACCATTAAATAATAGCCTAAACTTCGGTAACACTTCAAGACTGTTATGTCCCCCAGGTTTTACGCTTTAGTATGCCCATACTCATTTCAAGAAAGCCCAAATTATCATCTCGGCAGCGCGAGTCGAGCCCGCAGCACCACCTCGCGCCTTAGTGGCCACTTAATTGCACAAGACCACCTGTCTCTACACTTTAAGCTCCCTCTTTTTGCAGCATTGCCATATGGCCGTTCTAATAGCCTCAAAGACTTCTATGGATTAACAACTATAAACTTCTCGCATGGGCGCGAATCATTACAGCTTCGAGCAAGCACACACAAGATGCACATCAATATGAGAGCTCTACACCATACGGATAGACCCGACCCCCACTTTGATGACCGCAAACAAGACAATCGCCAAACATTTTAGCAGTTCAGTAAAGAATGCTGCCGCAATCATGAGGCAGGCCGGGACACATGTAATAAAAGTGTCTTTTCTCTTGTACACCATCATTCCAAAAATAAATATTAACTGACTAGGCACTTCGGTAGTTAATCGTAAAACTGCAGACAAGAAAGTCATATTTACATATACATGGGAAGACGACTAGTTTTGTGCACGAAGAGTAGATCAACGAAGCCCCTGTTCAGAGGCTTTGACTACGCGAATGCTGGGATCTGACCGTCAGCGCCAGCGAATCCGTCTGTTCATCCTTCGACTGCGTGGTCTGCATTGCAGGCCCCATTGAGCAAGAATGGAGAGCCTGAAATCGAGAGTAACAATTACCCTAGAAGCGGATGAAAAAAGCGAAAAGTAAGTAGAGCAGCGAATTCCAAACACTAACCGAAACCACGTCAGAGAGCAAAGGATTCCCCGCTGATTTACGAAGGGTAGCAACGTAAGACGATCCAAAGAATGCTGGCCCGCCTCCCACTTCAGAATCCGCCTCTGTGTCGGTGTCGGCCTGACCAGGGGGCGTGTGACGTGGAGAGCTGGGAGGGGAGAGAGAAGCACTGACCTCCTCTGTTCCCCCTGCCTCCAACATCGTCGGAGTCGCAGCTACTTCCTCCCTCTCACTGGACGAGTTGGAAACCTCAGCGCCGACACCGTGGGTTCGTGGAGAGGTGAGAGGTGAATTGAGCCAGTGACCGAGACGACGGGATTCATGAATGCGGTTTGAGATTGCCTCCAGATTGTTCATGGTCTGCGCATAGAGCAATTTCGCCGACTTCACCTCCACAGTCAGCCGGTCAATCACCTGTTTTGCATCCTTAGGAAAAGAGGAGGAAGAAATTTGCATTCAATGCATGTGTCATTTACGTAGGAATTGTGGCTAGGCCGCATGGAGAATAACACTGCATGCTAATCAGTGACAGGCCGGTGTTGTGCAAGGTGGAGAGACAATTGATCAAAAGGAAGGCTCTTCACCCCACCATTTAACCAACATCCGAGACTACTAAAAACCAATCATGAGGGCCAAGTTGTTTACTTATTGTGGCGCGGAACGCCGAGAATCAACAGACCCTAAGTGTAAAGGATGTTGCAACAGTGAAAAAAACCGACCGAAAAAGTTCAAGGGCCAAGAAGCACCACGATTAATGCGTCGCCCAAACTTCAAATCATACTGTAAAATCCGCCCGGATTTGAGGATGAACCTTCCTTCATAGCATCCACTACCACACAACAAAAAAACATAGCCTTGAAGGTAGGATGTTACTCACAAATTCGTGGATCTATAGACTTAGAGAGTCTAATTGCCACAAATTATTCTTTTACGCAAAGGACGGGCGAGAGGACCCCAATACCGTCTTGTGTGGGTGTAATTTAAGTGTGCCATTTGGGAACCCGTTTTACTTACAATTTATCAAATGAGCACCGGCCAAAGGTACCTAAATTTCAAAGGTTGTTAAAAACATTAGCAGACGTACGTTAAACATTGGGGTAGGGTAGGCTGGGACGCAGCAAAATGTTTAAGCGTTCCAGTAAGTCCAGCATGGTGAAAAGAAATGCCCACGTAGGCACGACTCCAAAAGGGCATAGATACATCGAAAGGCTATGTGCGGTGACTAACCCCTTTCCCCATATGCCTGCGTCATTACGTGGCTTTTTCCAGATTTTGGCCTTGCCGACCCACCAGGTCATTGATACTGTAATGGTGATGGTCAACGCTAGTAATATGAATATTCAAACTTCACAACAGAATACTGTCTCCCATAGACGGGTTGCCTTGGCTACTCTGGGGTCGACTAGTTGAATATATCTCGCGAGGAATTTACAATTATGCGCCCCACTAGTGTTCTGACCCTCGAGTTGTACCAGTACCCACCAATCCCCCCCCCCTATAGCCACAACACATGTTCCAACCCACTATCATCTCCTCTTTCATCTTCACGGAAGTCGCAGTGCGCTGCATTGCTGACAACGCAAGGCGGTCCCCATCCAAAACAACAACTACTCTCATTTCTGTTGATACGTGATAAATCCCAGCAAAGCCGAAACAGCGAATAAGCTGCGGGTGGAGGAATCACTGACGACTCCTAACAGAAGGGCAGAAAGTGACGTTGACTCGCCAACCAACCCAATCCCATGATCTGCACCATAGCTATTAACAATAACAGTGACACTGGCTGTGAACCATCTGCAGAAGTCGCCTTACGCACCTGCCCACTGGACCTGTATGGGAATATCAAATGCGCGGATTCATGACACCACCTCCACTTCTCTACCAGCTAGATAGAATCCAGATAGGTACGGATCGGCAGCTCTGAAGCGAGAACCACAAAGACGAGGAGGGTTTGAAGCGCAATTCTACTCCCACAAAACCATATCGAATCCCATCCCTTGGCACATGACTGCTTTCTTGCCAGTCTTCTACGACTACCTATGGACACGTGTGATGGCCACCACATTCCTTCAACCCCCGATACACCTCCCACACTGCACAAAACTCCAGATTCAGTGCCATTGTCAATGGAAATCAGTGGCGTTGACGTCAAATATCTTCTGGCACAGTCGGGTGGTGGGCGTTTTTCTCACAGCACCAATTACGGTGCAGTGGCTGAGGTGGGAGGTTGACCAAGGGAAGCAATGGGGACGAAGGTCATAAGAGGAGGATGGCTATGTTATGTACTGCTTGATTGTCTAATTCGTCATTTTGATAACAAGGCCATTAAAGTGCTCCACCACTGTACCTTCGCCGAGTGGGCTGGCCCCTGGGTCATGCCGGTAGTCCAAAGCCCTACTTTTTGCAGACACTGTACCTTCTACCCAAGTATTACGTCTTCTTTCGTCTTTTCGGAAGTCTCAGGGCGATACGCTATGTACTAAATACATTATTAAGGCACAGGATATAGTGAAAGAATACATTTTCTGGCAGTAAATATGAAATCCATAGGCTCATTCAATAAAACTACTTTAAAAAAAAACATTGTGTTGGAAGAATTTCAGTCAAAACTCTTGATAATGTATTAAAGCTCTACCAAGTTTCCCTGAACTTGACAATTAAATGAAACAAAAATGCGTGGGGTTAGATGTTTTCACAAGAAACCGCCATTAATGCGAAAATCACGCGGAAGTTCAACTAATACAAATAATCGTAAGGATATGCACCTATCAAGTCGCTCACAATTGTTCTGCGGTAACGCAGAGCGAACACAAGAGCGGAGAAAACTTTGCGAATGAAAGCCAGGTTATAAAAGAACATCTGATAGGGGATGCAAAGTTTTCAGATCACAAAACGCCCAGTTGGTTACACAAACGCAATTTCACCATCGAAGCCTCTGAATTTGAGCGCGGAATATGACTTCAACCCCACGAACAAATAAACTTTTTCAAAATAATAAAGGTGAATGCTTCACAGACACACCAAAATACTAACATTTTCCATTGGCTCCACAGGTAAGGCAAAAAAATTCAATGTCTGACAGAAATGTTTATATAGAGGATGAATCGAGGGGGCTGCAACTATGTGGGACTAACAAACTTGCTGATTATTAGAAGTCAAGTAGCGCAAGGCGAGGGTACAGCCTCAACAACAACCACATTAGGTGCCTATAAACATAAAACTACTCGGGAATACACTAAACAGCAAGCCCTTTCAAGGCGTAGTCGGTACGGGAAAGAATTATTGTTCTATTTGAGAAAAGTGAATCAGTGGTTTGAGAGAAAACTACTAGTTGTGGCATACCTCTCACAAAAGCAATATGATCACACCCATCTTTGCAATCCCGGCCTTAAAATTCTCCACAAAGTGACAAACGACAGGGAGCAAATTTATTTCGCTAGTAACCCCTACGCCAGCTGAGACATCAACTATGCGAGTCATTGGCATGGCATCCCATATTCATCCGCCAGTAAATAAAATCTAATTAGGGAGGCAAAGAGACAAATAATAAAAAATAACCAAAGAAAGTAAATCCGCACTGAAAAAGCTGAGCCCTGATTGGGGGTAGAAGCTCTGGCAAAAACAAGGGATACATCAATTAACCGATTTTCGCAGATGCGGATATCATCCACTGTAGAGAGAAGCGATTCAAATGTTTCCACAGAAAGAAAATCCGCGAACAAGTGAGGAAAAACATGTCTCGAATACGCTAATAGGTAGGCAAACATCCGAAGCGAGAATTTCAATCGTCGAGATGCTACTGCATCACACGCAAACGTACACAATGGAACAAGTATGCTCAGATGAGGTCGTGCTTTGGTGAAAAGATGACCTAGGAGCTGTGTGGTGAAATTTAACCCGACACTGACAGCTCTAATGGAAAAAAATACTGTCATCTGTTTAAGCATGGCATATGAGATTCACATGCCTGGCTTCCACGACTTGATGCCATTGATACATTAATCTCAAACTACTGCAAGACTAGAGGATATTCTGAGCGTGACCCATCTATTTGTGAGTGATTCATTACCAGGATCGTATTTTAAAAACGGTTTCTTCTAAAGCGCCTTTTCCAGATATTATATGACACATGAGTAGAAGCATTTGTAGTTATGAAAGGAACTAAACGCATTTTATGAAGTAAAGAGGCTCAAATCACATCAGGTTCAACCGACCACTTACGAGGGCGCAAAATAACAGAAGAATAGCAGGGAGCACAGTGAACTGACTAATAAATGATTGCATGTATTTTAAAAGTCCCACAAATAATAACATATAACTGCAGCACGCTGCACTGAAGGCCGTGCGGATTTTTCACCTAATACCACCATTCAAGTACAAATGGCAGGAACTGTCAACAAATGGTGGATTTTGTGTGTATGTAGGCAGTTAGATTTATGAAAACGTTTGACTCTGGCGGCCTAAAAAAACACTAATGCAATGAGAAGACTGACAGAACACGTGCGTTCCGCTCCGAATACGGAGTGTGAACACCGCGCTTACAGCCTCCGTGACCATTTTGACCGAAAATGGGTCGTTGAGGTGAAAAACAATAGAGTAACAGGCAAAATACACCTCAAGAGATGAATGACACTCACCGCCATCTTTCGGTTGTAGATATCCTGCATGTCGAAGTAGGGTCTAAAATAAATTAGTATACATGCCAGTAGGATTCAAATTAAACCATAAACGGATATATTGGTTTGTGGATGCTCCTCTCTAGCGTATACCTGGACCCGAAAACTAGGTAAAATTGCCCAGGGTGATGAAACAGAAAGTTGATACCCCTTACACTAATCATTCATAAATAATTTTGGTTTTGCTTGAAGAACTCGATTTCAAGGGAGTTGAGAGTATATCGACAAAAAATTGCGACAAATTCCTAGTAGTCTCAAACAGGTTCAAACATGTCGCCCCAACAAACGCTATTTTGCGGTCAACCACTGACGGCTTCCATCAAGGAAGAGAAAAATGTTTTTCATGGAATAGTGCAATGTACATCTCTAAGCATCAGGCACATCAAACGTCATAAGAACAGCTTATTGGCATGGACTTCAACCAAAAGTCCAGCAACAGAACTTAATGAACGTCTGTTTTATTCTTCATCGCAGACAAATGCCAAAAAAACAAGCGAATGCTTCTCCAAGAGAAAGAACATATTTTCGATACCATACGCATGAACACCATTACTAAAATACTTTGTTTAAAGCTGTTTTGGCTACGCAAGCACTTAAGGCTCTGCTTTTACACTTCCGCTGGGCGGCATGGCCTCCAGACCATGTCGGTTGCCTACATCTCCTAACCCTTCTGTACGTAGGTAATACATATCTGCCTTAGTGTCATGACTTCTTTCGCAGGCGGCCGAAAGCAAACCCAATCCTAAAGGTCAACTACCCTGATATCCATTTCCGAATGATACACCTTAACGTGACGGAAGAATGGGATAACGTGCGGATAAGAGAATCTGTGACGACCCCTAACAGAAGAGTCGAAAATGACATCCACCTTCGGCAACTACCCCAGTCCTGTGTTCTGTAGGAACCCTAACAACAACCAAAGCGACTAGCTATGAAACATCGGGAAAAGTTCGTTACAGAACTCTCAACGATACCCGTATGTAGGCGTGAATCAAGTAAATGCGCGACACCTCCTTCACCTCTCTTCTAGCTGGATAGAATCCAAATAGGCAGATATGGGTAGGCAACACTGAGGCAAAAACAAAGTGGTAAGAAGGAAAAAGAACATCCCTTGTGAAATGACTGCTTTTAGTCCGGTGATCTTACAAATAGCGATGGCCTCCGCACTTTCCCTCCCCCCAATACAGTTCTCATACAGGATGAAACTCCAAAACTAGTAAAATTGCCTGGAGGGATCAGTGGAATTGCAGTCAGCCATTTTTCCGATTGCAGGTGAATTCGATAACTGATGAAGTTGATTTGCGGGTTTTTTCCCTCAGAGTACTGACTACATTGTGATGGTCGAGGCAGGAGGTTGAAAATGAGCGCCAGAGACAACGCTCAAAAAAGAGGGGCTGTCATACTTTGTTTGTTTAGTGCTGCTTTGGATTAAGCTGACACTTAAGGCTAGGTCATTAGTTCAATCGGCCGCTCAGTACATCGTCAATCCATATTCTGCCCTAGTATTATGACAACAGTCGTCTACAGAGAAGACTTAGAGCGCCACATTACGATTAAGGTTTGAAGGCATGAAAAATGAAGCAATTGTGGCGCACGATCACTGCATTTGATCAAATGATTACTTAAAAGAGAAGCATATCCAAAATGAAACAATAAGACTTCTTTGCGAATGTAAAATGAAGCTCTTAGAAGGAATTACAATAAGACAAATTGTAAGTAAACTGAATAATCAATAAAATGCACACTTACTGGGACTTACGAATAGCCATACCCATGCGGCTGCGATAAACACGAAGGTTTTCTTCAATAATGGTGCACTGAGAAATGATATCCTTGTGTTTCTTTTTAAGATCATTTAGTTCCACTTTGGTTTTATTAACCTGAAGAACAAGTAATGTAGTACAGTGAATCAAGAGTTCTTAAGCAAAATAAAGGCGACAACTTTAGACAATTCCAAACCCTTTGCACAGCATTGTTAACCACTTCCAGCTTTGATTCATCCCCATCGACAAACTTGGCAACGTCAATACTGTAGGATTTCAAAATAGACACCGCCTTGTCGTGTTCCGTCCAAACAGTACTGTAGGCCTCAGAATTCTGTTGCAAGTCCTCTAACAACTTTTTCTTCTTTACTTGATTTTCATAGTAAGGCCGTGACTTTTCAATGCTCGACTTCAACTTCTTCGAGTAAGTTGACAATACTTGGGTAGCTTCGGACAATAGGGATTGGTAATCTTGACGGGCCTTCTACAGAGGTTAGGCAAGAGCCGGGACCCACATCAAGATTAGCTTCATTACTATTTATCAGAGAAGATGCGTAATTAAGGGTGTTTAATCGAGTCTAAATATGTGGAAAATGATAACCAACATACTTGAACGTCTTCAGTGATTGCTGCTGGCACAATATCAGAGCCAGAGTCCATCATTATTTGTATTTACAAGGAATTAAATTTCAGCCAAATAAAGGACTAGTTTATGGTACAAACAATGAAAGGAATAGTAAACGCACAATACCATTGGACGCGCAGACTGGATAGAGTGCGCGCCAAAGAGACCGTGAGACAGCCCTATGAAGTCAAACATCTATTAAAATAAATAATATATAAAAAAGAATATTTTAAAATCTTTAACTTAATATTTGTTTAAAAAATTATAGTAAAATGTTAGATAGCATCGCCTTATTACCTACAGGTTTGGTTTGACATTAGTTTGGAATATTTATCGCTATTTTGCAGATACTTTGTACTCCGCAACATCACATTTTTACTGCTCAAAATCGTTTGCTACCTTATTTTTCTCTTACTTATTCTACCTTTTCTTCCGCACGTTACCTTAGAGATTCTGTGTTTCTCTATTCCACCTCTTATCTTACACCATTGAAACGAGAATATGAAGCAGAAAATGACATCGCTCATCCAGGAAATGCAGAGAAAGCCCATTAATTATTGAGGTTTAAAAAAAATCGTTGCTTGTTTAACCACTGGAATGATGGGGCCTGCTTGAATATGCATTTTGTCGCAAATACCGCTTTATATAAGTGGAAAATTCGGGCAAAGTATGTAATGTGTTTGGATTTAATTTTTGAGATCTTTAAGGCTTATTAGGAGTAAAGTACTCCAAATTTGCTGTTCCTGACCAACACAGAAACGTGAGGCTAAGACTTTGGTACTGATATCTAGTTGTTAGTGATTTTTAAATTTTTTTCTTAAACTTAGCATATATTATCTCTTTTTCCAATAAAAGAATATTTTTGGAAAGCTCTGTATTTTGTCTATTCCATAAATGTAAACTTTTAGTAAGTCTTTGTATTTATAGTATTTTATTATTGATTTGCCTCTGATTTCTTTCTTGCCTCTTGTCTACTTTTTTAAAGTAGTTATATTCATATTCAAATTCTATAACCGTATTTTAAGACACTGTAAGCACAAATATACTAATTTTCCAACTCATAAATACATGACTTTGCCTTCGAGTTTTCGGTTGATGATGCATCATTAGTATGCAGAGTCAGCCAGGTTTTGCTCAAAGCAGTTTCGCGACTTCCCTGAAAACAAACGAAGACGTAATACTTGCTCTACAATGTATTGTCAACATACAGAAGGGATTGGGTCCTCTGGCATGAGCTGGATTCCCAGCTTCCCAGCAAAAGGTGCAATGGCGGTGCTCCTAGTAGACGCGTTACCGAGACCAAGCGCTAATAAAATAACCAACGAATCACAGCTAATAAACACCCTAATTTCATTCAAAAGTACTCTTAAATATTACAGTATGATTGCGAATATCTTGCTATAATTTCCTTACATGTGTACTCTTACTTCAGAAAAATTGGTCTTGCTGTAAAATAAAGTTTCAAGGATTCCTAACTCCGTCTTAAAGATACCTTAGAAATCGGTGTAGTTATCATTTCATGATGACAAAGTTCTGCCCCATTCTACTGTGAATAGTTGCGTTATGCATTTCATCCTTCAGTAGTTTGAATGAGAGTAATTTTTTACATTCGGGTAATACTAGAGACAGAAGACAAAACGATTTTCCAGTCACCGAAAATAGCTCTTTGGTGGTTATACTTTACTATAACCTTGTTCCAGTTTTTACTCTATCCATTCTTTACGATAAGCATCTTTTTTAGTCTGAAATATATATTTTAAATCCCCATTCTTAAATGGAATTAGTCAAGCGTAGTCAATTAAATTCACAACAAATCTCAAGGCTTCTTCCACACGAATGGGCACAGAACCAACCAAATTGAATGAGTTTATTTGAAGGAAAAAAACCTACGTATTTGGAACGAAACTTGTAGTTATTTTTGCTTTTCTTTCTAGAACCAAAATAATTAACATTCCTCTTCCTGTTGTAGACTATTCACTTGTTTTCCAATTATTTCCCCAAGACCTAGGCTTTTATCAAAAACTGCTCATGCGTAAACCAAAATATTATTAAATTTAAGCTTATTTGCTCATTTGCCGTCGATTTTATTTTAAATTTGCCTTTTGCGCAAAAGTCAATTTATAGCCAATCCCAACGTCGCTACTGTAGTCGCGTGGACCTAAACCAATGAGAAATCAAGTTAAGTGCCTGCGTGTATACACCATTGCTGCACGCACGCGTATGCATGCACACTTGCGTTCGGCCGCCGATATTTGTCCCTAAAAAGCTCCGCCTGAGTTCACTTCACTGGTCATACCCACTGAGTTGCATCGGCAGCGATCCTTGACGTGACCACAGTGAATCTGTTTTGCCAAATCTGGACGACAAAGCGGCGTTTTCGGTTCACCGAACTGCTTTCAAGTGGTGCGTGTAAGTTTGTGTCCAGCTGCTCACGCGATATAGCACGAATATTCCCACTTAGCTAGAATAAATACAAGGCCATTTTGAGTTATCTGTATTAATTACAACTCCAATGATTTGTGATAATCAGGCAAAAGCACCGATTCAGCTTTCAGGTATTTGCCTGTAAATAAGCCAGGATTGTTCTTGAGATATTAAAAAGGGTGTAGAGAAAGCACAAGAGCGGTATTTGTCAACCACACAAAGGTGCCAATAGGTCAATTCGAGATATGTCAATTTCCTAAATTCTCCTATCTTTAGTAAAATGCGGATATTTACTTTCTTGTGATCTAAGCACTCTGATGACAAGTGGGAAAAGTTACTAAATCAAAGATGGTTTTATCTATCAAACTCACCGTAATTTTTGCACGAAAATATCTCCAATAAATATTTACTCTTTGCATACTATTTATAATTTGTATTAATTCAGTAACCCTACTTAATTTATACTTATTAAACAGGCGTATTTTATTCGAAGGAACTCATGAGTGCGTACAGGAATACCGAGGCTAGTGCTTTGACCAAGACTTGGAAGCGCGGTAAGCTTGGTAACTAATTCAACAATTACACACATTTAAATTTTTTTTCTAACTGGTGTTACACAATGAAAGATTTAAATAGACAACCATAACATATGCGTCGATGAGAAAAGATTTAGTACTTGGGTAGAAGGTGCAGTGTCTGCAAAAAGTAGGGCTTTGGACTACCGGCATGACCCAGGGGCCAGCCCACTCGGCGAAGGTACAGTGGTGGAGCACTTTAATGGCCTTGTTATCAAAATGACGAATTAGACAATCAAGCAGTACATAACATAGCCATCCTCCTCTTATGAGCTTCGTCCCCATTGCCTCCCTTGGTCAACTTCCCACCTCAGCCATTGCACCGTAATTGGTGCTGTGAGAAAAACGCCCACCACCCAATT